AAAAAAAAAAAAAAAAAAAAAAAATCCTACCTTCCAGGAAAAGCTGCTTTCTGTTGAACTGATCTTCACAGCCTTCAGCATACTTCAGCAAGTTCTGTTTATAAAAAGTGGTATGTTTTGTGTTTTGGCCAGGCTCACTACGAGTTTTGTTTCCACTCTTTCCTATTCCTGTGTGCCACAGTCCCACAATTCTCTACAGCAGTGCTTGGCTGTCATATTTTGCAAGATTTCATGGGCAGTGAAAACTACATGCTTATTATAAAATACTTAAGTCCAGTGCTTCTGGATCATGTTGGAATTATGGAGAATATTCGTATTAGCTTCACAGCACGCTTCTGTGATGCTGCCCAAAACCCATCTGGCTTACTGCAAAAACACTCTGTATTTGTTCTGAACATGTAACATGAATGTGTCTGGAATCTCCAAGCTGCAGTGTCTCTGCCTAATCTACTGAATATCCATAAATCCTGGACAAATGTAGAAAAGGCTCAAATTCCTCCAGCAAACAAATTTCCAGATGGAAAAAGAAGACATGCACAAGGAAATCAGACCCTTCAAACTCAGAGATTACTCACAATCCCAGTGCTCTCCCTTGTCAAGGCTGTAGGCACACGTTGTCCTCTTTTCTATGCCAGTCTTCTGACCCTTCCATACAGGAGTGATGCTTCAAAGGTATTGTGTGACACACAGAAAAATGCCATTGAGTTGAAAAAAAGACCTTGCCTAATTAGCTTGGCCCCTGTTTAAAAAGAATATTTACTATAAACAGGGCAATTAAGGAGCACACACACTAACCCAAAGCATCCCCGAATGCTCTTCCACTACCTTTTACCTTCCTTTTAACAACAGAATATTTTCCAGTTACCTGAATTAACCCTTCTCTTTTCCTCCTCAATAAAACCACAAATAAATAAGAGCTGTATCTCATGGTGCAGTTTCACAAGAGTCTAAGCAAGACAAAAAAAGGGGAAAGATTCTGTTTCCTCACACACTTATGCCATTCTCCCCTTCTCTGCTATGGTCCCACCCTTGCCCCTTGCATCAACCATGACACTATTTAAATATTTGCATGAAACAATTCCGTTTCAGGAAAACCCTGCTCTTTTCATACTGGATGAACAGGTTGAAGAGCTCGTAGAGTCTGCCAAGGGCTAGACTAGACAGAGTAAGGATCTGGTTAGCAGGGAGCAAAGGAACAAGATGATTCTCTCAGCAGTGGCGAGCCACCAGATCAGCTCACCTTGCCTCATGGAACCACAGGCTTAGAGGTTTACCTCTGAACTCTTGTAGGCACGTAGGTAATTCACTTAACCCAGTGTCTTCACAGGGACCATGGGGAAAGAACATGCTTAGCCAACAGGATCAGACTGCTGTCTGGACCCAGAGAACTTACCAGCAGTTCAGAGCTTCCTTCTCTGCCACTGAAGGAGGAGAACCTCATTTTGATAGCACCTCTTGTCCAGATCTCAAGACATAGCTGCATTTACATTCCAAACATGAGGGAGGACTGCTGCTTTGGTAGATACCTAAAAGGAGGAGGAGAAAGAAAGAAAGAACCAAATGAGAAACTAAGTGCATCAACTTGTCTCTTCTTGCTTTCTCTTTTTGTTCATCTTTAATTCACATTTCAGCATTGTAAGTGTAACAATGAAGTGAATTTACTTTAAATAAATTGTGAAAGGATTACTTCAGGGTTTCACTTCTCAATAGCAAGAACAAAACAACAAAAAAATAGGCCTATTTAGTAAAACAGGTTCAGTTTAGAGTCATATATCACTGAACAGCTATTCTCTGGTTCTCCCAGTCCATTCAGCTGACTCTTCCCAAAACAAGCAATAACTAAAATAAACAAAGATAGCCATGGAGAAACTATTGCTATTTCATGATCTTTGGAAGCGAATAATAGCTGAAATCATAATTAAAAAAAACAGGAAATAGATGTTCTCCTGACATTTGGCTGAATCGGTGCACACCCAAGAACACCACAGCACATAATCTCCACACTATACTGGTTCTGTTGGTCTCTCTCATGTTTGTCTCACTCTGTGCCATACACGAGGCACACAACCCATAGTAATTCCAGTGAGCCTTTTTCAGATAAAGTCATATTGATGTGTAGTATATAACACTGCAGAAGGACTGATTTCCAAACAAATGTGCCTTTTAAAAGTATGAAGCAGCACAGCTTCCCAAAAAATCCCAATATTTTCTTCTGCATGTTAACAAAAGCTCACTTCATTTTGTTTGAGGCGTTGGAGTTTTTTTAACATAGATAGATTCACATTTACCTCATAAAATCCTTTCAGATGTCAGAAATCAATCTATTTTAGCTAAATGGAAAGCAAAACTGTATCACAAAACTTTACTGAAATCAAAATATATGGAAAGAGAAGATTACCTTTCAGCAGAATTTAGGGGGGGGGGAATTCTGCTTTTGGCCATAGCCATGTAATATGTTAGTACAAAGTAAGATTTAGTTTATTATGAAATGTCAGAGCGAGTCTTAATGTTTCTATCAGTTTAGCTACTTGCGGTTTATACAGAATAACAGCAGTTATAGGCCAGTACACATTGTTAACTGCCTTATTCTTGAAGTTTATAAGTTCTAAAATTATGTTCCATAATTAAACAAAACAATAGTATAATATAAGAGCATTAGTTTTAATGAAAACCAGTTATGTATCAGTCTTCAGCTTAATTTGCTCTTCACAGTCCCCAGAAATAAAGGGATTAACCACTGCAAATCCTCCTGGTACTTTACATTTAATCGCAGGCAATTTATGATAATTTATTCCACATGTCTGATACCACTGAAAAAATTTGCAAATAAAGCTTGCTGATGCCTCCAGGAAGTGAGCTGTTCCTTCTGTTCTAATATTAGCAGCAGACTACAGCAATGCAACATGTAACGTTCATTCCATACCCCCGAACGTTTTATGCATGTACAAAACAAATGGGTGTCTGATAGTGATTGGGCTGAGGATGTGTGTCACGGGAGTACTGCACCAAGGACTGAAAAAGAAACTTCGCTGATGTTTCAGTCCAATAGTAGAGGAGTATCAGAATTATTTGGCTTCTTCTTTAATAATTGAAGGAGGTCTCAAAGTGAGAAAGTAATTTTAACTCTGGCGTACATTTTCCCTTCTTGATATTGCACACACCCACAGTGCTGGGGTGGGTTGTTGTTTTGGTTTTTTTTTCTTTTTTTTTTCTTTTTTTTTTCTTTTTTTTTTAATCAGCTAGATTTCTGAAAAACAAAGCTTTCTTTTAAACTCAGATGCTGTAACAAAAGGGTTGATTTCTAGGGTACTCTCACCAATGACTGGCTGACATACCCCTTGTATGGCCACCAGGGGTTCCTCCTGCTGAATTTGACAGCACTGAAATACTGTGAACTCACTGCTTAGCTCCATCCTGACTCTGGATGAGGCCAGGGCACCTGGTTCCCTCAATTTACAGTTCAGAATTAACCAGGAAACCTACTATTGGCACATTCAACTTCTAATTTGGGAAAAGAAAATACTGTCTGGCAAGCTTGCAAGGCTGCTGACCCTGGGCTGCTGGAACAACAGAAATCCTACCACTCTGTGCTCCATCCTGAGCTATTCAGTCTTTAGCTTCCACAAATCCTTTGAAACTAGTCTGTGTGAAGAGGAAGCTGCATAACAGATCCACCACACCGTCTCGTCATTCTATGCCCAGCTTTAGGTGTATAAATGGGACATTCTGATGTGATTTCTTTCTGATTTTTTTTTTTTTCTTCCACGTGAAGACGTAACCCAGGAATGGCATAGCTTTTTGGGGAGCTTTCAGGTTCCTTTAGGCAAACTGGCAGTCACTAGGAAATAGTGGCATGATAATGCCTGTCTAGCAGCTGCCTCAATGGCCCCTAGTTCTTACCAGCAGGCAAAATACAGTAAAGTGCGTATTTAGACTGCAGAGAGAGGCCAGGTTGGCATTTATATTTAGATATTAATTAAGCTGATAAATTAATGGGTATTTTTCCTTTGTCCACATTTTTGAAAGAGTTTCAAGGTTGGCTTTTTTTTCCTCCTTCTAGAAGCACTTGTTCTCTATCTTCCTAACCATAGCTCTTCCCTGAAGACTGCAAACCTAATTATAAGAGGACTAAAAGAATTGATTAATTTTCCCAGTAGCACTGTGTCTTCAGCCACCATGTGTATGTCATTAAGTAATGGTTAGGTTTCTTCTCTTGCTGTCTTTTTAAACCCATATCCTGGCCTGCAGAGACCATCAGTGCCAAGCACCAAGAGGTGTCTAGCCGTAAAATGTACTATTGACCTTGAAATTCAGATTACTGATTCACTTTCAGTACTTGCTGCAGGTATTCTTTTTCAGATGATATAACATCTTGCTAAATGAGGTGGTAGGATCCAAGATGGCAAAACTCGAAGAAATTCTGCATTATGTGTCTTCAATCATTAATAATTAAACACTTTCTTCTTGAAACTAAGTTAAAACCACAAAGCAGGTTTAAAAGTCTGGAAGGACTTGTGCCACTGGGTAACATAACATGAATTCTGAAAAACTAAAAAGGTAAGTTCGATTTCTTTTTCACAAAGACGGCAGACAGAAAAACACAGCTAGTCCCGGAGGGCTTGGTTTCGCCACAGTAATTCTCATCAACATAAATAATTTGTAACAACATATATGTGAAAACTACATTTTAAAAAAATATTCCCCCAAGTAAAACTCAGTCACACTGGAGTTTTCAGACCTTTGGTTGACCCATGCATAGCTCAGGTATGATTCTGAGAAATCTGTTGATTTCCCTGTTCCAGGACATTAATTTCAGAATTTTAGATTTTTTATTTTTTTTTTTTTTTTTTTTTTTTAAATCTGTCACCCAGAGGGGTTTGGCCAGTTTAGTTATTTATGGAATAGCCAAACAGAAAAGGCAGACTGTTAATAACGAGATAGCACTGCCAGGAAGTAGTTGTGAATGGTGTATTCAAAACTCTACTAGAGAAGAACTGTAAGCAGATTTCAGATGAACAGTTTTAATGAAAATAGATGGCATATCCTAAGTATTTCAAATAGTACCCAGAGACAGAGGGAATTAAGATTTAACAATTAGAACTTCTGCTCATGCCACTGCTGTTGTTCTGACACAAACAGATTACACACCCAGATTCATTTTGGGAATACGATTTTAAATAATAATTAATTTTCTTTAGAAGTAAGAATGAATGCAAGCCCCTCGATACCCGGTTGGTGTGCCATCTCTGTGTGATTCATTTGGCTTTGAAAACCAGAAGCATCGTTACGCATCTGATTGCGGAATATTACAGTTTAATAGATCTGAATGCAGTAGGTAGAAATAAAAGTTTCTGTAGCCCCTGCAATCAGATTAGGTAGCATCTTACTTAAGTTTTAAAAATGAAATTCCTGCTATTTTTGTCACCAGGGAAAATTCTCAGATATGTAAATCACTAAAACTGCTCCACATGTTTCAGTAGAATTCATGCCATGTCTAAAAGCAAAAAATAAAACAAGGAAATCCTTCCCAGATATAAAAACTCTTACTACCTATTGTTTTTCCCAGATTTAAGCATCATTTCCTGTTATATACCAGAGTACTTAACGTTAATTCACTGCTATCATGTCATTTTTATGGGCATTTTCAAGAGTTCAAGTGATAGCATGTTGATCATTTTAGCAATTCTTAGCTTTCAAGCAGCTCCTGTTTTCTCTGAAATTGAAAATATCCAATAGAAATTACATGGGCACATTCACCATTCTGTCGTATAAATTACGATCTTTGAACACATTTCAGGAAAAAGTGTGTGCTATTCTAAACAGTTTTGAATAAAAATAGCTTCTGTGCAGACAGATTGATTTCTGCCTGTTTTGTTCTCTTCTGTCTGATTAAATGAATCACCTAAAATGTGAGGGAAAAATAGAATGATGAGTAGGGGAATGAATGATATGTTCGGGAATCTTGAGGATGACACAGTTCCATTGTGTCTTTGCGATGTTAATCTTTCCAGCTCTAAAATTACAAAAGACTTAAATCCAGGATTTTTCGGCAGGTTTGGTGTGTCCTTTCCTGAATCTATGTTTGGGTGGGAGACTGAGAATTCTACTGGAGACTTTTCACTAAAGAGCAGATGCATGGCCAATCTGTTTTGCAGAAACAGATGTAGCTGTTGCTTTTCTACCAGAAAGCACTAAAGCAGAGATTTGGAGTAATTCTCAGAATAAAAGATAAAACCAGAACTGAATAATTGCCAGTGTGTCAACATATGTTACGTGTACATTAGCAAGTAATTTGGGCACATTAGGAATGTATCCATACACCAAAACAATTTGTTCTCAAGCCTTATGCTTACACAGTCTACTTTTCTAGGGTTTCACTTTGGACTAGGTTTAGTCTGGTCCCCACATTAAATGTCTCCCACACACATGGCTTTACATCACCCACAGGATCAGTCATTGGTACAGACTGCAGTGTGCCCATTAGGGCTTGGAGCAAATGAGGTGCAAACCTAGAGTGAAGTTTCTGTTTTAATTTTCTCCAAGCTCACATGTTCCAAACCTATTCTGCAAACTGATCCAATACCCTGGGATTTGGTCCCCCAAATGCTATGTCTTCAAACCAAAATGCTAATGTAAATAACGCTTTTCTTAGACCCCTTTGTTTTCACACACTGTATCATCACCTAATGGCAGTTTCCAGACATTTGATTTTCATTCAAAAACCTGTATCAGTTCATCTCTTATCACATCCTCTCCCACAAGGCTCTCTCACAGCTGGCACCTCCATCGTCTCCAGTAGCCCCCTCCCTGGGCAGGAGGAAACCCCAAGAGGGGGGGGTCCTTGCTTGACAGGTCTCTTGTTATGACTTGGCTAGACCTTGCTAACGCCTGCAAGAGGCTCCCATCAAGGGTTCCAGGTCAAAGGATGAGCTTGTACTTTTCAATCTAAACCATAATTAAGTTTTTTAAAATATAAGAAATAAATTGCTGTTCAGCTTTATCAAATATGTGCCCTTAAAATATGATGGAAGATGGAAAGTAAGCAGTCATTTCTATAAACTGGTTTATTTAGAACTGTCTGTGGTTTCACCTTTCCAAATGAATTAGCCGCTGCTTTAAGTTCATGGCAGTATAATGTTAGAAGCCAAGTCTGCTTTTAACACAAGCAGAAAAGGCAATGAAGTTTCTTCCCCAACATTTTTCCATGAGGCTCCAGTCCTGGCCTGATGGGACTGTGCCTACCAATCTATTCTCTCCCTCTGCACTGAAATTATCATCAAGAATGCAGGACCTGACAGTTTTTGTTGGAGTTTTCCTCTCCCGGAAGCGAACTATTCACAGCAACTCATTTTACAAAGCCAACAGATTAACATGGTATCAGCCTCAATTCTGTCTTTGGACTGGGCCCAAATCACAACTAATGACCATGCAAAGACTATGAAACAATCACAAGGAACTAAACGGCTCATGGAATTGATATTGGAACCGTGTAGTCTGCTGTCAATCCCATAAACCACTTTGAGTTTAGATATGGCTGCATAGTACAATTTGCTGGGCCAACTACCACCCTTACACCTGTGTCAGCTGGATTTTGTGTAATTACAAACACTAGCAGGATAATAGGCTTACTGTCTAGCTCACAAATTAGTTAGTCTATAGCAACTTTATTCCGAAAACTGGAAGAAAAATACAGAAGGTACATGTAGGACTGGAACTGGTTGATAGATACACAACTAGTGGATGAACGATATACTTCATTCCCCTACATGAAAAAAGCAGCAGACAAAATACCTACAGTAACGTAGGAGGATTTAACAGAAGGTACTGCTTGCACTAAACTTATTATCAATAAAACCAGCTGAAAATGCTCAACAATCCTAGTGGAAATGATCTGCAAAGTGGAGAGGCCTGTTAGTGAATTACTCCAAGGAAAGCTCAGTGGCTTACAGAAGTTTTACCAAAACTTAACAAGATCATAGGTTTTAAAACTCTTAGTTTGTTCAGTGTTCATACGTATCAAAGGGTCACTGACACCAGCAGTTTCAAACTAACTTAAAAAACAAGCGAATTGAATTATTTATATCCCCTTCCTCTGCAACTTTGAAAATGTATCATTTTGACATTACACGTAAAAATTTAAATAGAAAACCGGAAAGGCATAATGTAATTCAGAGTCTACAGTTCTTCTGGTTTTATTCTTACTTTTCTGAATGCTCAGGTCTACTCAGGTCTCACAAAAGGACACTATAAGAATGATTATTTTTTTTCCACAACAAGAAAAGGCAGAAGGTGCTGTACTCATGAGTAAAGAAACCAAACTCTACATGAAAATTGACTTAACGTATCGGCAATATATGAATTCAGTGTCAGCAGATATAAAGATAAATGAATGAGCTGAAAAGTACACATAGAAATTGCATGAGCTAGCTCAGTTTTGCTTTTTGAAGACTTGAAACAAATGTTTAGTCCATAAATTTGCAAAGCTAAAAGCTTTAAAAGTGTTTATGCTCACTTCTTATTTGGCTAGTATTCTGTCACTGCTTGTGAGCTCGCTGGCTGCTTCAGTACAGCCTAAGACTGTAGGTACTTGCACAGAATAAAATGTCATATTTAAAGCAATGCACACAGTAAAGAAAACGTAACGTGTTGATTACCCACAGCCCCAGTTTCTAAGAAACATTGAATGCAATGAGTGAGTTATCACTTTTGAGGGAGAAAAAGTTGGAGGGACTTGGAATTAATACACGGGCTTACTTTTTAATTCTAAAGATGGTGTTACCACATCAGACTGATTTGAGATACGAAACAAAAACTTCCACATACCTCAGACATTTTTCATTACCGACCTTGCCAACCTCAGTGAAGCCAAAGCTGGTGCAAACGGAGAGGAGACTGTGCAACTGCACATGCTTCACTAGTTTACAGAGGGTCTAAAAGACAGAGTAAAAATATTCACAGGCAGAGAAGCTTTAACTACAGTGGACCTCCTGCCGGGAACTGCCCTGGCATTAACAATGATGGGAAACATTTGCCCACAGTGATTGCTGAACAAAACTACCAGTTATCCGTTGAAGACAATGACACATTGAATATCTGCATTGCTAACTGCTCAACAGAACTTGTTTTTCACTTGATCATACAACAGAGAATTAAAATCACTGCAGATGGATTCTGCTTTTTTTTTTTTTTTTTTTTTTTTTTTTTTTTATGTTCTGTTCTCTTTGTCACAATATTGAAAGGGGGAGGTATTGTTAACGTAATTTAACCACTGTCCTCAGTTAAAAATGAGTCTAATTAGGATGAAATGGTATTTTATTCACTGAGAAAACAGGCATCCATCCTCAATTCCTTTCAGAGACTAAGGCATGATGACACATTTGGCATTAATTACATAACGGTGCTATAACACTTATTTGCAGGACTGTCTACAAATAAAAAAATATTTTCCTACTCCTACCTTCAGCAAATCAGTGAAATAATCAGTGTAACCTGCAGCACAAATCAATTTCCAAGGACCAGAGTGCTTTGGAACATCTGTTATAAAAAAATACCAAGGCATTATTTGCTCTTGACTACACTGAGAAAAACCATTCTGTCTCACTGCCTCCTCTTCCTTCCTGAAATCCTTGCCTTGTTCTCCAGTGTATCCACAAGGTTGCTGGAATTATCATTTGCTTTGTCTGACACTCATATTTCATCTCCTCTTTGAATCTCATTTACAGGTTTCAACTTCCCTTTCCAAACTTCTGCCTTTACCCTTTCCGTCCATACAACATCTCTGTCATTGCCTCCAGTGCATGCTTTGTCTCTAGACCTTTGTGCTGTCTAGACAGCTAAGGTAAAAAAAAAAAAAAAAAAAAAAAAAAGCAAGCACCTCAGTACCTTTTTCAGAAAATATACAAATATATTATTCAGGATACTACCATGTTCAAGCCTGGGAATTAGGACAACAGGAATACATGGGAATAACATATTGCTGAAAAGAATGGTAAGACCACTGCAAGATTCCATCTGCTACCAGCAAGCTTCTTCTAGTGACAAGCATGAAAACACTACGGATAACAGTCTGGACAACCAAAAATACTATAAGGATGATGATTTTTAATTTCAGGGCTTTGAATTGCCTTTTGTCCTTTTTGCACTAATGACTGGCATAAGCATATAAGCAATGTTACTCCAGCTATAAGACAAAAAATCCGGACAGCTCCAGGTACCACTTAGCCATCCTGTACTGAAATGCCTGTCGTAAATCATTAAGCAATTATGAACTATACAGGAAGAAAATTGCCCTTAAAACCTTTTTTCTTAGAAGTTCTCTTTCAAAGCCTACAAGTAATCCTAACAATGAAAATGATAACAGATAAAAAGTAAAATAAAGTTATTATACCTGCCCTAAAAATGTGAAATTTATCAGCCTATCTCAACAATTGTGACAACTGCCGACAAAATCAGCAAAGTCCATGTTTTCACGAGACTCCCAGGGATAGTATGTATTATCCAGTGTACCTAATACCCTGGTTTTGTCCCAGAGGTGAGGAAGGCTGAAGCTCCAGCTGGAAGTTTTTACAGATATAAGAGCTGACCTAATAATGTAAAGATGGCAATCCAGAGCTGATCCTCTATGCTGCCCGACCCCGGTTTGAAAACATCAGAATGGATGAATGCTAAGTAAACACTCATTGGAGTCTGGTAGCTTGGTCTGTGGTCTTCAAACTCCTGGAGTTTTCAATATGCATAACATTTCCTCCCTATTTTCCAACTTGTAATTTTTCGGCTATAAAAACTATTTCCCCACTCTGAAAGATTACACATCTCACTGGTATGTTATTGTTAGAGGAAGACACAATAAAGAAGGACATGTTATGAAATACATAGGGGAAAAGGCTGGGTAAAGATGGAAAGGGAAAAAAAGCACTGAGCACAGAACTAAAGTGAAGTATTTAATTAGTGAAAAAGAAAAACTGAGAGAACGAATAAAATATTATTTACATGTTTGTATTTCCATAGACAATTGAAAAATTGTTTATAACTGCAGCTAAGTATAATAGAGTGATGTGAGGCATTGCTGCGGTGTTATTATTGACTGCTTTTATCACTTAAACACACTGAGAAGACAGAGAATTTCCGTTAGCTGGAGAGCCCTCAGAATCTATTAGGACCCGGTGTTCTTGATCACAGACATTCAACGTTCATAATCAATTTATATCAGGTAGCTGCTCACCCTACCTCAATTTCTCTACCTGTAAAGCACAGACATCCTATTTCAATTTCTCTGCCTGTAAAGAACAAAGAGCTGCCTCCCTGAGCTCTTGAAGTTCCTCTATCTAAATCTTGAGCATGCTTTGAAGTAAACACAGCTATGCACCATAAGCAGATTATTAGATTTATCCATCATTAAACTGAGAACGATATCATAAAGTAGTTAAATACTTTCTTTACTAGTTCTTGAAGAAAAATCTAATTTTTGGCACATTTGATAGCCTTTGCTGGGATTACCAGTTCACCAGTTGGACATAGGCTAACAAAGGAATAAATTAAAAGAGTGACTAGTCCATGCCAGGATATGTGAAACAATGAGAAGAGTGAATCTTAGTAGTAAATTAAGCACGCTAAATTGGCATGCAAATATAAACCTCTTACAGGAGCAGCAGAGGTTATTAAAGCCACAAAGCTGTCCCCCAGCTTTTCAAGTTTAACTAGAATTATGCAGGATTCCCAACAGCACAAAGTACGACATGCAAAAAAAATTAAGAAGTAACAGATGCTGCCAGGCTTCCAGAATATTTTCCTGCTGATGGGAACAGAATCGTCCCTCATGATTTTACAGACTGAAGCTCATCACTTTCATCAGCTTCTGCTAGATGTTTACAACGGCCAGGCTATTCCTAACAACTTCTTTTGCAGGTCTTGGTTTTGCATTTCCTAGGTATACACAGGAAGAGGAATCAGATACATTATATGTTCCAACCATTTCTTCTTTCAGATACATGTTTATTCAGTTTGCCTTTTTTTTTGCAAGACTTCACAATCATTTTTGGGGAAGAAAAAAAGATTTAAAAATCATTATTATAAGTCAGTGCAGACTGTACAGTAGAAAGACTTTTACTGAAAATAAGAAAGTATGTAAAATTGTTATGCAAAAAACTAGTCAAACTTAACCCAACCATGGGATGTAGCTGCAACTTGTGAAACGCCACACGTAACTTTCACAACTCATTGACATTTTTAGTCACGTTCATACTTCATAATATGTAAGATGCAGCCAGCAGAAGACACTTGCTAAAGAAATAATGTTATAAATATCCTCCCAAATAGGGTCTCCCAAGGTTAATTCACGTTTCCCCTCCCTGAATTTATTCTGTTTCCCAAAGTCATCTCATATGCAAGTGGCCTAGATTGCCACATGCATATTGCCACAACTTGTTAACCAGTTCTTGGATGTTTCTTATTTTGCACATGATGTAAAAGCCTGCATCATCATCCTAACTGCGTATTAGTACTCAAGACTTGGAATTTGTATTCCTGCATGAGCATCTCTATTCAGAAATTTTTTATCTCGAAGTTGACTCTACTGAATTATTTACATACCCTGTTACATCATGGGAAATCATGCTGGTCTTCTGTAAGACACTGTGGCTGCTTGTTTTGCCAGAGAATGCTACCAGGATCAACAGAGATTAAAAAGTTCTTTGTGGATTTATTGATTGGTCTCCATAGAGAACTCTATCGTCACGTGACTTCTGTAAGAGAGAACAGTTTTTAATGTCAAAAGACTATGTAAAATGGAGCTAGATTCAAATGTATTTCCTCTTTGATTATCATCTTATGCACATATAAGTCCATTTACATCAGTGGTGTATCTTGCGACAAGAAAATCTATCAGCTTTCTCTTTCTGAATATAGCACATCAGTTTTTGTATCACTAATTCTGTTCTTTCACTTCTTGTTTCCTACAGCTACTACTGCTTACGGTTGCTCAAAGATAACTGTGGTTTCACTTTCCATGTAAAAGCACTAGTTAAAAAGCTAAATAGCCTCGAAACTTCTGCATTTATTTGATACTACTTACTCCTCAGTAACTCCTACAAAGATTAAACAAATTTTTTTTTTAGGGACTGTGTAAGATATGCGCAGATTGCATGGGTTACGATGACTCTGTGCATTCTCTTGTGTATCTGCTGCCTCCCTCCTAGATGGATTCCCAGAAATTTAAATAATGGCAATGGATATGGCCTGGTGATTTTCATAATGTATCCTACCTTCTAATTAGTTCTGCATATATTACTGAAAATAGCTTTCTGCTATCAGAGACACTGCTGAAGGAGGCGGGAAAGCTGTGCTTTCATTTTCTCAATGAGCATAAATAACACGTTTCAAACATATTTTATTCTGAAGTGAACCTTAGTCAGGAGCTCCCTATACCTAATGAGAGAGAAATGCACTTCAGTGGTGCTTTCGGGGCTCCCCTGACTAAGAAGGGAGTACAGACACCCTCTTGTGGAAGCTGCCCAGTGTTCTGTGCGAGCAGGACCAACACCAACCGAGCAGCGCTCTCATCTCAGCACAAAATACTGTTCCTGTGGACACATATTGTGCCTCCTTTCTAAAGAGCCCCATTCCTTGCTTTTACACTAATCCTTTTTTTTTTTTTTTTTTTTTTTTTTTTTATTTTTTCAGGGAGATTCAGGTTAAACTTGGAGAAAATAGACGATTTTGTATCACACCACACCACTGAAAAGAGCAAACAGGAGGACACTTACAATACTTAAAAGTTATTTCAGCAAGAGTTCTCTCTCCCTGGAACAGGTGTTCAGAGAAAGAATGGTCTAACATTTCATTTTGAACTAGCAAATACACTGTGCATTGCCATGACCATTTTAGTAATTTTGTTATTTATTACATTATTTGTGTTCT